ACTGTTCTTTAAGCACTGTCAGCTCTTCTTGGAGCTGCACGAATACTGCCATTTTGGCATTTTTTTCTAGTATCATGTCCTTGTGATGGAATTTGCCCATTATTGCAATAATTATTGATGGTTATAATATTGGCTTTTAAACTGCCAATCCACCAAATTTAATTCTCTGCCAAATTTTTTGGCTACGTGGTAGTTTGTAAAAGAATAACTACAAAAATTTATCAAAATCAACTAAAAATTATAAACTAATCTAAATCATATTTTTTTAATCATTGTTCCTAATTATTCTGTTCAGTTTATCAAGGACTGGCCTTTGCTTTATCTGCATGCAATTCTATTCCAGCCATTGTCTCAGTAATGCCAGAAACACCATCATCTTCTCTTTTGAATACTAGTGTCAAATGAGTAGTCATTATGTACCTGGTGTATGTCATGGGTTGCATCACTATGATGTTTGTAGCCATGCTTAAGAATGTTTTTAATTATATTTTTGTCATAACCAAGATACCTGTATCCATTTATAATGCTTTTTCCTGACCCATCTCCTAGCATACTTTCAATGTTATATCTTCCAATGTATACCTTATGGGTGCTTATACCAATTACCAAGATATCCCCAATATCTTGTTTCCTTGCCATTTCTTGCATAAAATCCCGGATCAAATTTTCAGTACTACCCATACTAATCAATGTCCATGGACACTGAAACCATACCACTTTTCCAGCAACTTGTAGCCAGTCGGGTATGCTGGTGGCATCGACATCTGTGTGCCAGTTGTCACTAAAATCGGGTAATCCTGAAACATCAGCAATATTATCCTCTATTTCTTCATCAGACAGCTTGTATTTCTTTCCATTAGGAGTGCACTGGGTTTCAGCTGTAGCCTGTGCTCTATCAAATGTAGGTAGCTGTGAATCGTAAGTAGTTGCTGTTATTCCCTCAGACCCATTAGTACGGAGACTAGCGAGTGCTATAGTAAATGTAAAGTTAGCCTCACCAAATAGCACAATAGGTTTAGGAGCCACACCATCACCTCCAAGTATGTCATTCCAGATATCAGCAGGCAGTCCGAAACCACTCTTTCCTTTACGACCTTTACGAGGTTTGAGTGCAGCTGCCTCTGCCATGCTGTCCTAGTATTTGATATCTAAATGAGTGAACCGGACAAAATTTGAAAAGTCACTACAGGAGATTTAAGTGCGGAGTCACTGGAGACTGGAATAATGAATAATGCTGGAGTGATACTGGTATATTTATAGATGACCACAGCAGGAAACCACCAGCTGGCTGGCACTTATTATTATTTTATTATTATCTGTGTGATAAATTACACAAATCATCTACTACAATAGATAATAGATTTATTAGATTACTACTCTAGATTAGGAATTTTCACTGGTAAAAATAATTATAATGGCCAACAGTGATATTGTATCACATGGAATGTTTCCACAATTGATTCAATAGACAAAACAGTTTTAAAACGACATGAAATTTTTTCCCTGTATCTGAAATTTTCACAATCTATGGCTAAACATAAAGGCTGGTTTAAAATATTACGCTAGTCCTGGCGTTACGCTGTTGATGCTGGAATAGAATCTGGTTCTATTCTAGCAGAAAGCATGCATCAAAAGGTCAAATTGCCCACACTTTTGATTAAAAATTGATATTACGTACGCTGGCCTGACGTCATATTGTTAACCCGCCTTAAAAGTGCAGCTGTCATCTAACCCTGTATATATAACGAATCTTATCTGGTTTCTCTGTAACTGGTGGGGTTTTTTGAGGCTACCAATTCTCAGAACATGACCTGTATTTAGAAATTCAATTTCTACTATTTAGCCATCTTGTACATGTACTAAATTGATTTTTTAGAATTTAATTTTGCAAAATCCATAAAATTGTTATGTTCAAAAGAATCCCAACCATACAGTAATAAGGTCACCCTGAGAAATAGAAGCACCACTTAAAGATCTCAATGGTATCTGCAAAAAAGAGGTTCCTTTGCCATTAGTCTTGGCATCTTTTGTAATCACAAAAATTAGTACCATTACCCATTAAAATCTATATTATATGTATGTGTATCCATTTTATTGGAATGTATCTGTAATTAGAGTATGCATGTGTAGCAATTGGTGAGTAGGCAGTTCACATGCAATATAGTACCAATGATAGTACCTGTATATGATTAAAGGCATGACAAGGTGGTTTTGCATGTTCATTATAGTATACTAAATGCTACATGTATGATTATACTCTTCTTAATTTCTATGTCCTCCTTTGTTTTTTCATAGCCTTTGTGTCTCTCATTATTTCTTTCTGACTACTAGTATTTGTGTTTAGGTTGAATAAATGTAGCCTCTTTGTTAAGGACACCATTGGGCCCACACTACCTGTCCTTAATACATGTACAGTGTAGCCTCTTTATTAAAGACACCATTGGGCCCACACTACCTGTCCTTAATACAGAGGTGTCCTCATTTCAGAGGTACTTTTGTATAGGCTTGTACCAATTGGGACATTACAAATGTCCTCATTATAAAAGTGTCCTCATTAAAGAGCTTAAGGCGTATTTCAATGTTCAAATCTTGCTAGAAGCAATAATTATTTTTTATTTTTAAAAACTAATATGTCATGATATGGATATACACATATTAAATTGTATTATGTAGAGAGTTAGTTTCTTAATTATACTATTAATAGTTCAGTTCTTCAACAAGGCATGGCGTTTGCTTTATGCATTCAGTCCCAGTCCAGCCATTTGTTCAGTAAGGCTGAAAATCAGCGTCAGATGAGAGTGTATTATATAGTTGTGGATATTTTTATATCCTTCATGTTTGTAGCCTGTCCCAAGGATCATTCTAATTATAGTGTTATCACAACCAAGATACCTGTATCCATGTATGACATCTTCTCCTGGCCTCTCTCCTAATATATTTCTTAGCCCATATTTTTTGATATAATTTTCATTTGTACTTATTCCAGTTACTAAGGTATCACCAACATCTTGTTTCTTTGCCATTTCTTTTATATAATTTTTGATCAGATTTGCTGTACTTCCCCAAATCAATTCTTCTGATATTGGTATCCATGGACACTGGAACCACACTACTTTTCCAGCAACTTTCAGTTCTTTCGGAATGTTAGTGGCATCAACACGTGTGTGCCAGTTTTTAGTAAA